TTCAAATGGACCTATAAGGTACCAGCAAGTCCTTCATCCAATAATGAAAGCATTGTGACAACATCAATAATCTCATTCAGTTTTGATTTCCAATGGCAAACAAATGCTGCTGCATTGGGTTCTATAAGCACATGATTAAAGCTTTAGAAATTAAGAATTTGAATGCACAGTTCCAAAGGACATTACTTTTACTGTCTTCCCTTCACTTAGGCATTCGTTTTGCTAAGGTTAAATTTCAAGCTTGATCCAGATCATTATGGTTTATTATATTTCCATCTACTGTATTAAGTCCCTGTAGTCACAAAATCTATTGTTACTTAACCTATATACATACACACACACATACATACATATACATATTTTCATGCCCCTGTCCAAGTCTGAATCCGAGGAGGAAGACGAACAGCTGACAGGGAGTTAGAGTGTAGCTCCATTGGCTGTGGAGGAAACTGGGGAAGGACAAAGTCCAGCTGGGCAGAGCAGGAAAGAGGTAGAACAAGGTAGAATTCAGAGGAAGACCCAGGCCCACTTCATCCTAGGGCACACAGGGAGGAACGAAGAAAAAAGCAATGTGGGTTGCATGGCTTATGGGGGAGGAAAGGGCCCTGATTCCCTTCATTAGCCACAGCTGGGAACACAGTTGATAAGAAAGGCAGGCTGTGTGCGGCAGGCTGCTGGGAGCAAATGCGACTTTATCTTGTGTTGTCATTGCTTATCCATGTTCCTGGCATCTTCCCAACCATGTGAGTTTTGCAGTGCCTTCAAATCTGAAATTCTTGCTCCTGCCTTGCCAAACTAATTACTTCAGTTTGGCTTGATTGGACTTATGGTGACAGTTTGTGTTGACCATGTTTTGGACTTAATCTTCTGCAGTCAAAGGCTGTTCCTGGGAGAGTTTTTCTCCTGCCAGAAGATAATCTGGACACTGGGGGCGAAGTTGGAGATAATAAAGGGACTCTTATTGATTATCTGACTGTGTTGCCTTTGTGCCACGCCCCGGATCATCATACATACACACACATATACATATCACCTTTTCTTATGGTAGTTACAAAAAGGCCAAACTTATCCTTATAAACTTATGAAGTAGGTTAAGCATAGTGTGTATCTATACCAGATCCATCCAACAGGTTTCATAATGCAGTATAAATCAAAATGTTGAACCAAATGTAACCACCTGGATCATGACACTTAAACATTTACTCTCTGTGAGGGTAAATCAGCTTGAGATAATAAAGCCGCATAACTGACCATTTTTTTTCCCAATACAACAAACACTCTTCGAGTTTTCTTTTAACTATAAGATGCTGGAGAAGCCAACATTTAGATGCCCACATAATGTTCTTCCATGTTGAGCAAAAATCCAGAAAACCACTGTATAATGTCCAAAAGATACAAAAAATTCTAACCCAGGAATTTTTAACCTCGGATCCATGATAAACCTAGGTTCCAGGAATTTGAATGGGGGTAAAATACAACTTTACTTGCACCAACTTCTCAAATTTGATAGAGAAGGGGTCACCCACATTCCAAAGGATCAATACCAGGAAAAGTTTAAGAAAAACTGCTCTGTAGAGAGTAAGTAAGGTGACCTTGATGGAGATATACAAGAATTACATAAACAAAAGCAACTGAGGGGGACTTTTTTATTCCTAAATTATGACATAACATTCAGAAGTGGCTCAGATGCCCTGATTCACTGAAATACAAGGAGGAGGAAGAGGCAAAACACAATCAGAATTGCAAGATTCAGCTATTATAGCCAATTTCAGTAAAAGTAGTTGGATTTGATTTCCTGGCTTGATCTACCTGGGGGGCGGGGGGCTGATAAGCTAATTCTTTTCTACTGTTTTACGGCTGTCACAATGTTGGTAGTTCAGATCTGATAACCTAATTTAACTGAAAAGTATTGTAGCACAATTCTACGGATTGCATCACTGAGTTCTCTTTGTATTATATGAAGAATTAAATACATCCATAAAGATAAGCATTTCCATCATGATCCAATGCATGAATTTTAAGTCTCACTGATTCAGTTAAGCTTATTTCTATTAAAGGTATTTAAGTTAGCAGCCCTACTTTTGCTTTTGGTTTAAAACAATAACTAAAATATAAGGTGTTTTAATAAGAAAATCACTGACATTTTTTTCCTGTGCATACCTAGGAATCAAAGATAACCTCAGATTTCCCAAAGTTCGGTAATAAACCAGTAAACTGGGTTTATTGTTTAACTGAATGTCTGTGCATTAAAGCTGTAAAAACATTGTGTTGATCTCTCTAGACCCACCATCAGAATTGTAAATTAGCAACTACTGTTGACTTATTTCACAGGAAAAGATATTCTCAGTCATGGTTTTGGCACTGTAGGATTACACCATTTTACACATTCTAAGTTATTGTTCACAGTAGTCATTTGTTCAAAAGGTGTGACATAAAAGCAACTGTAGTAGATCTACCCTCATGTACAATCCATCACTCTTGGTTATATTCCCTCTTGTCCATATTCAGAAAAAAATCAGTAAACCTTTCTTCATTCTATAATAATATATTCATTCACAAGAATGTTTGACTACATTCATTGCAGTTGTGTATCTAAACCTTCTCTGGATATATCCCATCTAAACGAAGACTTTCATATAATGACAGTCTCATTTAAAAAGTCTGTCCCCAGCAGTAAAATCATTTTTAAAAAAAAGTATGACAGGCCCAGCTTGGCACTTTTGGCTATTGGGTCATGATTGCTGAGAATGTTGATTGTTGCTGTTCTTTTGCAATCGGATTAAAGAAAACTGGGGTGGGATGGAAAAATTACATATTGATTATATTCTACCCCAAAGAGGCAAAACAAGCAATATGTTGGTAAATAAGAAAATTAAAACTGTTTAAAACTATGTGATTACAATAATGTCAACAATATTAGAGGTTACAATAGCAAAAGAAAAACCTTTAATTTGCATTTATAAATGGCTGAGAAGCATGCAGAAGGGAATGCTTTGCAGGTTTCCACATGTCTGTTTTTGATTATATCTGAATTACAAACAGTTTTTCTTTTTCAAACAGTATCATGGCTTGCAATTCAAAACTCCTGGGATCCAAGTCAATTGCTCTCTCTTTCTAGGTCAAAGCAGCTCTTCAACTGACTGAAAAGAGGGAGGAATACACTCTGCACCTTTCCATTTGCAATCTTTGCCCATCCTTTCTTTATGAATCTGCCTCTTCCATCTCTGATTTGGGGAGGTAGGGGGGGGAGAGCTTATTTATAGCTTCACTGTTGCATACAACAGGCAGACAGGACCAAATCGTGAGTCACGGGATGACCTAAAAACAGGGGTCTCCAAACTTGGCAACTTGAAGATTTGTGGATTTCAGCTCCCAGAATTCCTCAGCTAGTCATGCTGGCTGGGCAATTCTGAGAGTCCATAAGCCTTAAAGTTGCCAGACTCCTGACCTAAGATATTTAGTATTAGCAGTAGTAGCAAACAGGTTTTTTTTTTAAAAAAAAAAATCTTAATAGCAGAGCTTAAGAAGTGAATCCCCCTTCTGAAATCAAAGATTATTGAATCTGAGTGATGGTTTTTGTTTTTAACTGAGACATCCCAATTCTTGCTTCATTTCTTGGTAGATGTGGTTACTGTTGGACAGCAGTAGAGACTTCAAAACAATTTGCTATAGAATTTGTTATGTTAACATTGGTACAGAAAATCCTGCCAAAAGAAAACTGACCATACTCAGAAGATGACTGGGAAACCATACTGTCCGTTTTGATGACTAATTAAGAGGCAAACTCACATGAGTATGCCATTGTTTTCCACACCATCTGCAATTTCTGACACATATTAAACCGTGCTTCCCGGAGTTTTCAGAGACTGTGTTTGCCAAATATCTATGTACTATGAAATAAAGAAACATCTCAGAATCCTGACTTTTAGATATTCCCAATGTGTAACAAGAACATGTGATGCATGAACAAGCAGTGTGGTATTTTTACGGGACATAAAAAAAAAAAGCAAAACCCCAGGTATATTTTATCACATCCAAAGACACACACTTTGAAAACATGAGCAATGCAATCATTGCCTTGAGGCTAGTAGAAATAGTGTGACATTCTACAGCAACTTACAAACAGGGCAAGAAATTACAATTGTTGCACTCTGGTTTTCAGTCAAGGCTACCAAAGACTTGTCTTCTGTTACTCAACCTACTGATTTTAGCAAGCTTCTGATTGCTAAAAGTCTACTGATTCTACTGATTCTAGCAAAGCCAATGTCCAATATGAATTTCTGGCTCTATCCTCTGGATCTGTGCTTTGCATTAGGACAAACAAACAGTGCAATGAAAGTTTTGATGCTGTCAGATAAAACAGAAAGTCATGAAAAGAAAAAAAAGCGGTTACCTATATGACCCAGAAATGACAAAGAAGCATCTTTGGTGTGCTAAGATATGATACTATTGGCACTATATTTTTTTTTATTTTCATGACAGTTCCCTTTCTGCTGTTGCTTCTTAGATTTGCCTGGCCTATAAAAAAAACCCAGCAGAGAATCTAATAATCCATCCCTCTCTAAACAGAAAGATATAGGCAGACTTTCAACCCCACCTTAGTCTGATGGAAGAAAAGTAAACTTTTTAAACTGCAGATGATCCTAATTAGCCTCAGCAAACATAGTAAAGTTTCCCTGCTGCCCTCTTTAGGGTTAATTGCAGAAAAACCACTTTTTCCTGTACAGGCCAGGCCAAGCCAGCCCAACTCTTGATCAGATAGTTTCCAACCGAAGTGCTAAAGAAACAGGATCCCATCCCGGCCACCGAATGACACCAGCTCCATTGTAAACTATTCCTTGGACCTTGGGAACACGCATCCTTCAGGGAAAAAAAAAACCCCATCCATTCCAAACACACTCCTAAGTTCTCTTGAAAAGCATCCATTAAGCTCGAAGGTGTCGATAAGAGTAATAAAATGCACGCTGCTAATAACAGGATAATAATCCAAAGTCACAAACCTGCTACTGGCTGCGAATAGTCATAATCAAATAAAATCGAGAAGTCCAGCTCTTCTTGAGGACTGATATTTGGATTCGGATCATCGTCCCCTTGCTGGGAGTTCGGATCCGAATCGTTTGGACTGGAAGCCATCTCTATATCGTCTAAGGGTGATCTCTTTACAATTCTAATTGGGGAAGCGGGGGGGTGGGGGGGAAGAGGCAGAAAAACACGGGAGGGGCAACTCTGCCCTCCCCTTCGCAAGCAATCGCAAGAAGAATGATTGATAACGCCCGCTCGTCTGAACCGTGCAACTCGAGAATAAAAAAAAAAAAATGAAACGCAGGCTTCCTTTAAACTTCTCGGGGAGGGGAGGGGAGAGGGGAGGGGGGAATCCCCTAGGTCCTGGGAGGTCGTTTGGCCCCAAACTCTGGGATCTCCTTCCGCCACCTCGCGTGGCAAAGAAGAGGCGCTTGCACGCGCAAGAGCTTCGCCACTTCTGCAGCTCTCTCGCCGCCCTTGGCCCCTCTGCACGGCTGCAGCTTCGCTCCCGGAGCGTGAAGCCCGTTCGAGGCGCGGCGAGGAAACTTCCTGTTCGCGGGGAGCCACCTGGGGCGAGAAGAGGCGGCGCTGCCTCTGGGAGGGGAGGGGAGGAGCGGCGGCGTTCCCACCGCTGATCGCTGCCCGGCCCCGTCTCTTCAAAGCGGGAGAAAGTGGAAGCTGCGCTTTGGAGGTGGAGGTGGAGGTGGAGGGGAGGGAGGGTTGGGAACCAGATGGAGAGATGAAAAGGTGGCCAAGAGCGGGCGGACTTTTTACGCTTACACACGCGGGGCCCTGAGAACGTGGGGATGCGGACGCGGGGGGTCTCCGCAGGTGACGCTTTGCCCGCGGGCTGGGTTGCTAACCCTAAGGGCCTGTAGAGGTTCTCAGGAATCCAGGTCATGGTTGTCCCAAAGGTGCTTTTTCAGGAGGCAGCTGGACTTTCTTCTTGTTGTTTTGAAGTTGTTTTGCTTCTCATCCGAGAAGCTTCTTCGATTCCCCACGATCCTGCCAGAGCTGAAGAAGCTTCTCGGATGAGAAGCGAAATGTCTTCAAAGGAAAAAAAAAAAAGTAAGTTCAGTCGCCTTTGGAAAAAGCACCTTTGAGATAACCAGACGGCAATTGGACTTTCTTGTTGTTGTTTTGAAGTTGTTTCGCTTCTCGTCCGAGAAGCTTTTTTAGTTCCCACGATCCTGCCAGAGCTGAAAAAGCTTCTCGGATGAGAAGCGAAATGTCTTCCGAAAAGAAGAAAAAAACCAAGAAAGTCCAGTTACGCTTCTCATTCGAGAAGCTTGAAAGCTCTGGCAGGATCGTGAGGAACCGAAGAAGCTTCTTGGATAAGAAGCGAAATAACTTCAAAAAAACAAGAACGAAGTCCAGTTGCCTTCTGAAAAAGCACCTTTGGGATAATAACCCTAAAGTTGTTTGCAGCAGCCCGACATGCTGAACCAGCGCCTAACTTCGTTTTCCCCTGGAGAGAGAAAAGAGGGGATCCCACGATTCTTTTCACTTCGCTGCAAAAATTCACCACGCGGGAAAAAGCGGAGGGAAAAAAGAAAGTGAACTTTCGCCGGATGCGTTTCTTCCTGCTATCAAAAGAAGCGTGGAAGTTGGGACTGGGGAAACCGATGCTTAAATCATGCAGACACATATGAAGGCAAATAAATACACGTGCGCTCCCTTGAATGGGGCATGGGAAATGGGGAGAAACAAGGTCGCAGGGATGAATTTTGCGAGGGATATGAGGCTACACAAACCGCGCGCCTTTCCGATGTTCCTGAAAGCTTTGGGTGCTAATAATAAGAAAAGGGGAACATTGTTAAAAGCAAGGGGAGGTCAGTTACTGATTTGATATCTCTCAGGCCTTATAAAATTATGTGTCTATTTTAAATGTAATGATGAGCTGCATAACTGCCATCACTGCCTCCTGTACAATTTATTATTTCATTAAAGGCATTTTGTGTATTTTAATTATTCAAATATTGGTGATTTAATATACCATAAGCTGGTATCCTGTGGGAAAACATACAAAATGCACATTTTGAAATGCATAAAAATTTGATTACATGAAATATTAATCAGTTTTTCATCCTGATCAAACTTATTTTAAAAAACAGTACATTCTCAAGCGTGCCACCTCAGATGTGACACTGTCCTTTTGCCTCTCAATAGTTACGTAAGCTACTGATGTATTTATTAAATACATGAAAAACAAGTGCAGGACATCTGTATAAGAACATTTAACTATTGCCTTTCACTAAGGTAAATTAGTAAAGTTTGCATAAAGCCTTGTATACAAAGTTAACAGCATGTAACTGAAAACAGGTACAGAAGTGCTAGAAAGAAATGGGGGGGGGGGGACTTCCTTGTTGCACAGGTGTTTTGTCAGTATATTGCAAAATGTTGAACATGTGACCAAGTTTTACATTTATTTCTAGTTTTCAGGAAAACCATCCCATAGTGAACAACTGATTCTCTTAATGATGATGTTTTCTTAATGACTGTGGTATTTGCTTAATGACCACCACAAAAAAAGGTCATCAAATTGGATAGGTCACTGTGGGTCACCCACTTTACAAGGATCACTTGTGAGCCATGGTGGCACAGTGGTTAGAGTGCAGTACTGCAGGCTACTTCTGCTGACTGCTGGCTGCCAGAAGTTTAGCAGTTCAAATCTCACCAGTTGGTTCAGCCTTCCATCCTTCCAAGGTGGGTAAAATAAAGACACAGATTGTTGGAGGAAATATGCTGACTCTGTAAACTGCAGAGAGGGTTATAAAGTACAGTAAAGCAGTATATAAGTCTAGGTGCTATTGCTAAATGCTATCACAACTTAGGACCATAATAACTGCATTATAACTGGAAGTTAGGAACTGTAAATCAGATGATGTTAGAATAAAATTAATATCCTACCTTTATCTCCATTCCACCCCACCTGATATATAAAATTCCCCAAATCCTTGTGTGACACACAAGTTATATATTATATTCCTCAATGTCCTCAGATAATCAACCTCATTTGCAAAAGCTAAATTCAGATTTCTAAGCCAGATCTTGCATACAAATGCATGTGCTACATGCCCCTTTCCCAATCTGGCAACTTCCAAACTTGTTGAGATTGTAACATGCCACCAACAGAACTGCAGTTCCAACTGGCTGCAAAAAAGATGCAGGGACGGAGTGGCTCAGTGACTAAGACGCTGAGCTTGTCGATCAGAAAGGTTGGCAGTTCAGCAGTTCGAATCCCTAGCGCTGCGTAACAGAGTGAGCTCCCGTTACTTGTCCCAGCTTCTGCTAACCTAGCAGTTCGAAAGCATGTAAAAATGCAAGTAGAAAAATAGGGATCACTTTGATGGGAAGGTAACAGCATTCTGTGTGCCTTCGGGCCAGATGACCACGGAGACATCTTTGGACAGTGCTGGCTCTTCAGTTTTGTAACAGAGATGAGCACTGCCCCTAGAGCTGGAAATGACTAGGATGTATGTGCAAGGGGAACCTTTACCTTTATAAGGTAGTCCTCAATTTACAGCTATGGTACAACCAGGACTGCTAAGCAATGCAGTCATTAAGTGAGCTGCACCCAATTTCAAGTCTTCTTTGCTGCACTGGTAAAATGAATCTATCTTCCTTTATCGACTTTGCTTGTTGGAAGCCACCTGGGAAGATCATAAATGGTGATCGCACAATCCCAGGAAGCTGCAACTATTGTGAAAACATGCCAGACAACAAGCACCTGGATTTTGATTGCATGACCATGGGGATGCTATGACTGACAGTGTGAGAAGTCACATTTTTGCTGTTGTAACTTTGAATGATAATGAAATGAATGGTTGTAAGTCAAGGACTACCTGCAACCCAAATTTGAACTAATTATAGAATATTTTGGACAGACAGTGGACCATCTCAAACAAGACCAAGGCAGTCTGTTTGTCAGAGTTCCAAGTAATAGATCCATATCAAGAATATCACATTGGCACAGATCTGGTGAAAACCAACTCTGAAGACTTCCGCCATTTTTACCTAATTAAAAGGAAAAGTTTCCCCATTTTCTCAAACAACCAGTCACACAGTCCAATCACGGTGCGGTCTGGCTGCCAGATGACATCACTCCATCTTCCTCTGACCAGGTGTGAGAATGTCCTTGGTTCCCAAGAGAAAATATTTTGTTTTGGCTACAGAATCCTAACTATCTCAAATCCCTCCCTCCCTATCCCTCAGCACCGGTATGGCAACACTGAAGCAGTCAAAAATGGCTTTGGTCAGGTCAGCTTCAGGGCTGACACTTTTAGTATAACTTTGGAAGTAAAAAGACATTCAAAACCTAAGACATTTATATAGATAGAAGTGTGTCTTTTCTCCCTTCTCGAAGCATTGTTTGGTCCCAAAGCCTCAGTGAACAGTAACCCAGCCCTATAATTTGAATCACATTTGCAGATGACTCCTCAAACATCAGGATAATAAAAATGACATGGAACAAAGTACAGCAAGCCAAGCCAACATTTATGGTGCTTTCTAGTACTTACGTAAAACGCCAATGGTGCACTTCTGGGCTTATAGTTTTACACACACACACACATATATACTTTTAACAGCCCAGACTAAGATGTCTGCCCTCTAGATTAGCTAGTTGCATATCCTCAGCACTGCCAAAACAAGCATTACAGAAGGGATCTGGATGTCATCCAGCCAAGCAGTGCTTCAGCAGCAAACCAGACAGGCTTAATCACCATCTTCTTTAGCTGTCTTTTCTTATGTTTACTTTTCTTTCCTAGCCTCTTATTTTTTATGTCTTAACCGAATAAGAGAGTTAGAAGGTACCTTGGAGATCTTCTAGTTCAACCCCTTGGTCAAGCAGGGGGCCCTGTACCAATTCAGACAAATGGCTGTCCAGGCTCTTCTTAAAAGCCTCCAGCAATGGAGCACTCATGATTTCTGAAGGCAAAAGCTGTTAAGTAGTTTCTCCAAAATGCAAAATCAGCATTTTGCATCATCATCAATTTGGACTACAAATGAATTAATGTAATTCATCCCCTGAAAATTAATAGAATATGCCAGCTATATGAAACAAATGAATTAATGTAATTCATCACATCATCACAATGCATAGGTGAACTCATCAATACAGGCATGTCACACCAACATCTGCTTTATAAGTGGACATTATCTAATGGTCAATAAGGTAAAGGTAAAGGTTTCCCTCGCACATATGTGCTAGTCGTTTCTGGCTCTAGGGGGTGGTGCTCATCTCCGAAACTACAAAGCCAAAGAGCCAGCGCTGTCCAAACACGTCTCCGTGGTCATGTGGCCGGCATGACTAAACACCGAAGGAGCACAGAACGCTGTTACCTTCCCACCAAAGTGGTCCCTATTTTTCTACTTGCATTTTTAAATGCTTTCGAACTGCTAGGTT